GGGCTCTGATTGACATCTGCCACCAGCCACACATCTTGCCGATATTGCAAGCCTGATCTGTCATCTGCCTCAGTCTGGGCAGTGGGGTAGAAACTTGGGGCTACGTCAGAGTCTGGGCTTGGTGGGCAGTGAGGCAGGGAGAGCAATACACTGCCCCCCACAGCACGCAGACACTCCAAGCAGCCTCAGTGCCAGTCCCCGGGACAGGGGGTGACATCTTTATTTGCGCCACCAATAATTGCAGTAGGGCTGACCTTCAATTATGAACACAGGCGGCAAATTGCAACAGCGTTCACAGTTTCTGATCCATGTCACCAGGAGAAAGCAGATACTTTCATCTCAGATGACAGTTGGGGCAGAGTTTACAAAACGCCTTCCCGCTCTCAGCCCAGGTGTAAGCTCAATAAAGACGCACACTTGCTCCTGAATTATAAGCATGTGCTGTGACTGCAACCGCGTCAGTCTGCCGTTTCCTCGTACCTGTTCTTTCTTCTCCTCTTGGTTCAGGACAAGAGGGCGGTCCACTGGTCCCAACACTGTGCCCACTTCCCCTCATGCTCACTGTCTTGCATAACTGCCATGTGTGTCAAGATGGGGCGCTCACCCTGTACAGAGCCACCAGCCATAGGCGGCTGACTTCACCAGTCTCTGTGGACGTCCTTTCCCTGTCCATCCACTGTCCATCCACTTGGTTCTGCCTCTAGTCCTTAGGAGACCTGCAGACAGACCAGTACATGGTAGTCCCAGGAGACTGGGCCCCTTGCAGCCACTGCTGCAGGTTGAGGCTGCACCCCATCCTCCCATTCAGCCCCCAGCCCCAGAGCCCCCACCTCCTCCTGGAAGGCTGTGGGAGAAGAGAGTTACAGACTGTGGTTTTCCAAATATGAATTGACTGGGGACAGCTACCTTCTCCTTAGTTAGAAGTCTGGATCCTGGGTGTGGGGGGTAGTGTATGTGCAGTGGGAATGTTTTCCCAGCTTTATTGAGATGCAGATGACATGTGACATTGTGTGAGGTTCAGGTATATATCGTGTTGATTTGATACATAGAGATGTTGCAAAATGATCACCACATAAGATTAGTGGACATGTTCAGATTTTTATAATTTTTTTTAATAATGCAATTTATCCTTCAAGGCCTGGCCAAAATCTGGTGGCCTGATGATACCCCTCGGCCCTTCCCCATCCCTCCTCCTGCTCGGCAGCGGCCCCGCCTTCGTGGGAAGGGAGCCCCCCAGCTCTCAGCTCTCCTCGGGTAGGATCTGCTTTGCCCAGGTCCCCTTGGCCACCCAGCTCTTGGACAGAGAAAACTTTCTGAAAGCAATTCAAGAAATTAAAGGGGCTGGAGAGGCATGGGTTGGTGGAAGCTGGAACAGCTGGAGTGGCATCTGTGCTGGCGGCCGCCAGCACCCTGGCCTCTCTCGGGGAAGTGACAAGCCTGGGCTTGCCCAGAGGAGGGCCAAGAGGAGGCGGGTGGGAGCTGACTCAGCACCCCCAGGGATGAACTAGGGAGAGGCTGTGAACTTGGGAGTCCCACTCTTCTTCCCCCAGAGCAGTGGCCTGGGGCGTGAAGGAGGCAGGGTGGGGCCGAGGCAGTGCAGCTCTGTGCTCTGTGGAAGCTCAGGGTTCTGGGGTGGGTGCCTCTCTCTTTCTCTACCCCCCACCCATAACATATCCTGGCCTCACATCTGGCCAGTGGCCAGCACCTTGAAACTGGCGAACACAGGGAGACAAAGTCCTCTTTTCTTTCTGTCTGAGCAACCAAATCAGGACGCACACTGAACCAGTGAAGAGAAATCAACTCTGAGTGAATCTTCCTTCTAGTGTGAGGTGGGCTCCACTGTGGGAGGCACCGTGGGAACTGCCGAAGGAGCCCAAGCCACAGGGCTTCTCCCCTACCCAGCTCCCGCTGGGCCACCTGCAGGCTACGTGGTTCTCAGGGCCCCTAGCCCTGCTCCCCTCCACTTACTACAGAAAGTATCACCCCCACATTGGTGCTATGGTTCCAGGTCAGTCCTGCTAGTGCTGAGTGGGGATGGAGCATGTGGTCTCCCGGATGCACCACCAAGAGGATTTTGGTCCCTAGCCCTCGGCGCAGAGCCCCCAGCACTTGTTTCTTGCTGGACAGTGTCCAGAAGTGGGGACGCTTGGGGTGGCGATGGAAATGAACGTTGATTTCAGCTTGGGGCAGGCAGAGCTGTCCATACAACATACGCGTCGACCCAGGCCACGTGGTCCTTGGGGCCAAACAAGGCCATCTAGTGGGTGGGTGGCATAAAAACCAGCTGGACTGGGCTGAACAGGAAGTAGAGGTAGAAGTTCTGAAGGAGAACCAGGGGCTGAGTATTTCGTTCTCCCTTTACGGTTCTCTGTGCCCAAGTGGCCAAGAGTGGCAGAAGGCATGCAACTTATCCAAGGTCTGTCCCATCCCACTGCCCCTCAGCCTCCCCCTGTCCTCCTACCCCCACCCTGTGCTGGGGCACCTGGCCAGGCCCAACTTATCATCCCAGAGGCCTCACCCCAACTAGCTGGGTACCCCTGAGGTCAGAGATAGCTGAGCTCAGCCCATCCACTCATCCACTTAACCCATGCTCATCCATCAGGAAGCCAAACAGCAGGTTGGCACAGAGGTCCCCAAAAGGTGAGGGAGACAGCCCCTGTGGTTCCTATTCAGAGCCATCAATGCAGGGCAAGGTATGGGAGAGCCAGGTACAGGTCACAGGACACTTCCAGAGAAGAAAGACCACACAGGTGGGTGAGAGCTAGGGGTGGGGGACTGGCCTTTCTGGAAACTTCGAGATCCTGGAACTGTGGGGCAGGCATGAGAGAGAGACCTGGGATGGTTAGGCCCAGCCTGGCACCCTGCACTCACCGAGCTCCGTAAGGAATGAATGAGTGAGTCAGCCCCTGCCGTCACATGCCACATCAGGATCATAGACTCAAATGGGGGCGAGGGGAGGCCTTCGATGTCTGGTGTGAGGTCAAGGTTGGTCTGCAGCTCATGCAGGCAAGACAGGAGCACGCTGGGGTACCAATGTGGGGACATGTAGGCTCACCAGGAAGCCAAGAGTCTGGTCTGGAAGCACCAGGCCTCCCCCAACACCAGGGACAAGGGGCCAGTCAGCCATGGGAAGGAAGCTTGGCTTCACTGGGGCATCTGGTTACAAGGTGGGAGGACACTCCGGAGGAAGACAGGTTTTGAGTCCTGAGGGATGTGCATGGTCGGAAGAAGGGGAGGGCGCCCAGGAATTATGGGAACACACAGGCTGTTGAAGGGTTTGTCCAGGAGTGTACAAGATGAGAGGACACCATACGTGGGAAAGACTGTGTCCAGGACCCCAGGGAGAAGTTGCCTGCTCTCCAGCCAGCTAACTAAGGTGGAACTGTGTACATCCTGCCTGCCAAGGAGCAGGGGCCACGGGGGTTGCAGGAGAGAGAGAGAGCTCGGTGTGGCATTGGGATGAGTGAGACAAAGCCCTGCGCTGAAGACAGAGGAAGAGTGTGGGGAGGCTGGTGTGGCCGGAGTGCAGGGCTTCCCAGGTATGAGAGGTGAGAGCTGGAGAGATCCAGATGCTCGCAGGACTACGCAATGAGGAAACGTCTTCTGTGGCACGCAGGCAGCAGGCACTCAGCAGCTGAAGTGTGCGGGCTTCGTGCCTCAATGCAAGGTGGCCTTTGAATATTTTGGAGACTTGAGAAGGAAAGATCACAGGATCTGCTTTGTACTTCCAGAGGACAGGTCTGTTTCTTACTGCTCTCATTGCAGCTGAATGGCCTGGAGTTAAGATTTCGAGTAGGACTTACCATATATCAGTGTCATAGTGTGGGTGTGTGGTTGCTGAGAGACAAGCCTTTGTCCTGCCTTCTCACGGGGGCTCAATCATCCCAGGAGAGAGGAAGCGCTAAATAAGAAGAACCTCTAGGAATTATGGCCGAGGCAGTAATAAAGCTGCCACTGACTCAGTCTCCTCAACAAGGAAGGAGAGACAGGCCTCCCCATCTGGAGCCCAGCTAGCAAGCTACAGCGAGGGCCCAGGATGGCTCTGGATCTGAGCCTGTACGCCCCGCAACGGGCAGCCCAGAAGAAGGAGGGGACAGGTTCCCCGAGGAGGGAGGGGACAGCGCAAACGGACCATGGCCTGAGTGAGTGTTGGCACCTCTGTGCTAACAGCCAGCAGATCTCTGGGGACATTGTGTTTAGAAGCCACAGATGCTGGTCCACTAGAACCACCCACCCAGCGGTCCTTTTGGATCCAGGGCCTCCCCCACCACACTGAGGGTCTCCACTGTACCTTCCCAGAGACCAGGCAGACCTTCTGTGATATCAGCAGTGGATGGAAGATAAGATTATACAGCCAGGCACAAAAAAGCAACAATGGCCATGCAATCATTCGCATGGAACATCCACACCTGGTGAAGGAGGTGCTGAGATGCAGAAGAATTAGGCAGAACTCTGCCTACAGGAGCTACCAGCCACTGCGGAGATTGTCACATCTAACAAGTGGCAGTACCACGGAGCACCCACTGTGGAGATGGACACATCCACAGGACGCAGGCTAGTGGGGGACCTGCTGCAGATATGAACACGTCTACAGGTGGCAGGACTATGCATCACCTGCCTGCCAGATGAGGGAAGCTCTCTCTCTCTTATTCTGCCAAGCGGGCCTGGTGGTGGTTGAAATCGAGGTGCAATTACATACAGTAAAACAGACACGGTTTAATCAGTTCTGACACAGAAACGTGTGTGTAATCAATACCTCCATCAAACACAGAGCACTCTGTCACTCTCGCCCACTGTGGTCCATAGTGACTGAACTGTCCCATATCTAACTCTCCATCATAGTAACCTCAGGCCACATGTGGCTGGTACCACTGAAAAACCGAAATTTTCTCCATTTTAATGTCATTTTACTTAATTTAAATCTATAGGCACCCGTGGAGAGTGAGAACTGGTGGTGGGCCGCACTCCCACTAAGCAGGCCTCCTTGCCCTCCTCCCCAGGTCCCTGGCTGTTGGGCCCCAGTATTCATCTCTGGGCATGCAGCCCATCCTCTGTGCCAGCATCCCGGGCCTGGTCCCCAAGCAGCTGCGCTTCTGCCGGAACTACGTCGAGATCATGCCCAGCGTGGCAGAAGGCCTCCGGGTCAGCATCCAGGAGTGCCAGCACCAGTTCCGCGGTCGCCGGTGGAACTGTACCACCGTCAACAACAGCCTGGCCATCTTCGGCCCCGTGCTGGACAAAGGTACGCCTTCCGGGGAGGTGGCAGCCTATGGGTGCAGCAGGCCCAAGCCAGGTGCCCGGCTCTGCCTTGGTGTCGTACCTGTCCCCGGGCATGGGAGCGGAGTGTGTGGGTAGTGCTGCACAGACCTGGCAACGCTGGCGTCTCTGACGTGGGTCCTTCCCGTGGTCACTGGATCTGGGAGCCTCCTGGAGCTTGGGAAGGACATTGAATCGTGCAAATGCTTCCTGCTTCCTTTCCCCAAAAAGAAATTGCATGGTTCCAGGGGGACACTGCAGGCAAATCTTGGAAAGAAAACACACACACAAAAAAACAAAAAACAAAAACAAAACCCACACTCAGGAAGAGAAAGAGTTGGGGGGCCAAGAGGCACATGGCGAAAGCTATCCAGGGTCCTGGAGCCAGGGGTTATTTGGGGGAGGAGAGGGAGATGAGATTGGCTGGATGTTGGTTAACTTTTGGTGAAGAGCAAATTTTCACAAAACGTCATGGTTTAAACAATGATGATGTGTCATAGGTCCTGACAGATCAGACTGCAGCACCTGCAGGCAGGATTAATCTCTGCCCCTCAGCCATCCCTTTCTCTCCATCTGGCAGCCAATGCTGCTGTCAGAATACCCATGGCCTCAACACGTCGTAGCCTGCGCTCCCTTAGACATGGGACCCACGTGCAAGTGGGGAGGGAGGGAGGTGGAGAGAGAGACCCCTTTCACTTAGCAGAATGTTCTCAAGATTCATCCACACTGTAGCATGTTCTAGCACTTCATTCCTTTTCATGAATGAATAATATTCTATTGTATGAATACGCTACATTTTATTATCCATTTATCATTGATAAACATTAAAGTTATTTACACCTTTGGCCGTCGTGAATAGTGCTGCTATGGACATTTTTGGACAAGTATCTATTTAAATGTCTGTCTTCAAATCTTTTGGAATGGACGAGTAAAATTGTTCAGCCTCAGGATAATTCCATGTTTAAGTTTCTGAGGAACCACAATACTGTTTTCTACAGCAACTGCACCATTTTACATTCCCACCCACAATGCAGGAGGGTTCCGATTTTTTTCTACATCTTTGTCAATACTTGTTATTCTCTGTTTTTTTCTTTAGCCATTCCACTAGATGCAAAATGGTATCTCGTTCTAGTTTTTATTCACAATTCTCTGGATGGCTAATGATGCTGAGCATCCTATTATGGGATTATTGGACATCATATGTCTTCTTTGAAGAAATGTCTATTCTAATTCTTTGCCCAGTTTTTAATTGGGTTGTTTGTCTTTTAGTTGTTGAGTTGTTAGAGTTATTCATATATTCTAGACTCTCATCAGATATACAATTTGCAAATATTTTCTCCCATTTTGTAGGTTATCTTTTCTTTTCTTTTTCCTTCTCCCATTTGATTGGTTGCCTCTTTTTTAAAATTAAGTTTATTGGGGTAACATTGGTTAATACAATTATATAATTTTCAGGTGTACATTATCATTTGACATCTGTATATTCTATTGTGTGTTTACCACCCAAAGTCCAGTTTCCTTCAGCTACCATATATTTGATCCCCTTTATTCACTTCACCCTCCCTCTAACCCCTATATTTTACCCACTTTACCCTTTTTACCTCCCCCCTTGTCTTTTCACCTTTGTGACAGTGTCCTTTGATGCACAAAAGTTTTAAATTTTGGTGAAGTCCAATTGATCTATTTAAATGTCATATCAAAGTAAGCATTGCCTAATCTAAGATTACAAAGATTTACTCCTATGTTTTCTTCCAAGAGTTGCAGTTTTATCTCTTACATTTAATCTTACATTTAATTTCTGTATATGGTGTGAGGTTAAGGTCCAACTTCATTCTTTTGTATGTGGAAACCCAGTTCTGATGATGTTGGTTCTAATAGTTTTTGCTCGATATTTTTCCATGTTTCTGTGGATGGACAGGCCCTTGATGCTCCCTACTCTGCCATTTCACCGATGTCACTTCGTACTGCCTTCTGAGACCTAGTCTCAGGGGCCATGCAGAGCCACATTTGTTGGTGAGGCAGTTTGAAGGCCCCACCTAGGGTAGGGGACACAAACAAACCCCAGTCCTTGATGGCATGTCAAGGTCACCTGGGGAGATGAGCATGAAGAATAGGATATGCACTGGTATAGCTGCCTCCAGAATGCAGAGGAAGAAAAGAGAACAAGAGACATCTGGGAGGAAGCTACACCAGATCCCAGGACTACAGGTGTGCCAGGGGCGGGGCCAGCTGAAAAGGGGTCCTGAGAGTGCCGCTGAGTGTTGCCTTGAGGGCTGGTAGGGCCTGACGGTGTTTATTCAAGGGCCTAGGACTCTCCAGTGTCAAGTGATCATGACCCTTCCCCCCAGGTGAGCCTGTGTTCTCTGGAGCAGGGATGGTTGTACCGCGTGACCTTGACTGGCAAGCCAGTTCACTTCCTGGAGTGTCAGTATCCCCGTCTATAAAATGGGAGGATAATTGCTACTCGGCCAACTTCACAGAGCTACTGGTTAGGTTAATTACATAGCAGCTCCCCACAGGGATGGCCACTGCTGTGTGTAGATAGAGTTAGGTCCACAGGGCAATGTGGCATATCAGATGTGTGGGGACATGTGTGTGTGAGTGTGTATGTGCATGCATGTGCATGTGTGTGAGAATATAGGTACATGTGTGTCTGTACCTGTGTGAGTGTGTGGTGCATGTGTGCATACATGTATGTGCTGTGCACGTGCATGGGTGTGTATGACTCTGTGTGTACTGTGTGCCCATGTTTGAACATCTGTATAGTATGTGTACATGTGTGTTGTGTACACGTGTGATGTTTATGTGTATTACATGTTCAGTGTGTGCGTATACATGTGTGATGTGTACATTTTTGGTGTGTTGTGTGTTCATGCATATGTGTATCCCATGTGTGCAAGTGTGCATGTGCATTGTGCTGTATGTCTGTGCACATGTGTGTGCATGAGCATGTGTATGTGCATATGTGAGCAAACATGTATATCGTGCAGTTGCTGCCTATGTGGGTTCCATGCTGTGCCTTGACTGGTGGTGTGTGGGGCAGGGAGGCATGTTCAGCACTTGCGCCATGGTCAGGAGGCCCCAGACAGGGCCCCAGTGCCATCTGGGTACCTGGTTGCAGAGCCTACATGGGGGTGCCTAGGGTTCCCACTCCCCCAGATGAGAAAAAGAGAGCAGGAGTTTGGGAAGAAGGCAGAAGCCTTTACTACCTGTAAAGGCTGCCATCCAGTGGTGGATGAAGGCTGTCTTGAATGGAGTTGGGCCCCACCTGGAAGCCAGGGAGGGAAGTGTGGGTTTATTTCTGGGCTCTATTCTATCCAATTGGCCCACATATGCATCCCACTGGGGCCCATGCCATGCTGTCTGGATTACCATGGTCCTGCAGGAAATTTTGAAATTGGGAAATGTGAGTCTTCCAACTCTTCTGTTTTTCTGGGCTTGTTTTGGCTATTTGGGGCCTCCTTACCATCCCATATGAATATTAGGATCAGCTTGCCAATTTCTGCAATAAGCTTGGGATTTTAGGGCTCGCATTGAATCTGTAGATCAATTTTAGGAGTATTGCCATCTTTACAATATTGTCTCCTGATCCATAATCATGGGATGTCTTTCTATTTATTTAGGTCTTCTTTAATTTCTTTCAATGATGTTTTATTATGTTCAGTGTACAAGTCTTGCACTTCTTTCATTAAATTTATTCCTAAGTATTTTATTCTTTTTGAAGCTATTGTAGGTGGAATTGTTTTATTAATCTCATGTTTGGATTGTTCATTGCTGGTGCAAAGAAACACAGTTGATTTTTAATATTGACCTCATACTCTGTAACCTTGCTGAAGGCTTATCAGTTCTGATAGATTGGGGGGGGGCATTCCTTAGGATTTTTGTGTCATTTGCTAATAGAGACTGTTTTTCTTCTTCCTTTTGATCTCTTTATATTGGAGCCTCCAGGACAATATGGAAGAGCAGTGGGCAGAACGGGCACCCTGATTTCCTCCTAATCTTACAGGAATAGCTTTCATTCCCTCACCATTGGGTATGTGCACTGGTTTCACAGCTTTCCGAGTGAGGAGCCTGTTTTCATGAATAGGTAACATGGAGTGTGGGGGCAGGGATTTGATATTATGTGTCCTTCCAGTTTTTGCATTTTTTCTCAGTTAAAAATCACATAGCAATCTATCATTGAAAAGTTTTAAAAATCTGTCAGCTCATTAATGACTCAGTTGGGTTCTCTTTCATTCTGTGGAAAATGAGGAATTGGAAGCACCAGATTTATACAGGATTTTGAGGTCCAGTTGTTGTAGCCAACGCCAGGCTTGACACGTGCTAGGAAGACCAAGAGTCTCCTCTTAGGCCAATGGGAGAGGATGGCCCTGGAAGGGAAGGCAGGAACGTAGGCAATGGTGCTTTGGAGCTGCCAATGTATCTAAGGGCCTTGGCCCATTTCCATGCTCCCCAGGGATATGCAGACTGGCCGCGAGACCCCTGGGATAAGTCGTTGTTCCCGTAGGCCACAGCATAGCCCTCAGTGGACACGGGCTCCGTCCTTTCCTTATGTGTTCCGACATCTGTCCCATCACCCTCCACTCCAGACCCGCAATACTCCAGTTAGCATCTCAGACAGCAGGGCGGTTGAACCCCTGATGTCTGCCCCACGACCCATCCACTCTCTTCTGCGTTTCTCGCCCGTCCGTGGTGCTGAAGCATCCTGCCTTCTCCTGAGGCTTGTCCTGCTCGCCGTGTGCCTCAGACCTTCCCTGCTCTTCGTGTTACCTGGCTCTATCCACACTCTGCTAAGGCCTCCATCTCCTAGACAAGAGCCGGGCCCTGCCTCTGCTTATGGGTTCCGGTGCGCCTGCCCCTCCCCCCACCACGGGCAGCAGGCGCTCCATGGTACACGGGGAGCCCTTGGCAGCTCAGGGTGCTTAGTAGGGAGGTCCCGAGCTGGTGACTGAAAGACAAGGTGTATGCCTGGATGTCCCCATGAGG